TCGATTTATTTATTATTTAATTAATTAATCAAAATTATTCTTGTAAGTTGTTTTTAAAATGTTCAAATATTAACTAAATATTTTAAAACTTTTCCGTTAAAAGAGGAAGAAACTAAATGTTTAAAATAAACAAAAAATACTAGAGAGCAAATTATAAAAAGATAAGAATTAAATTATATCAAGTATCAAATTTTAAAAACTAATTTGATAAATTTTTAAAACAAAATAATTAAATAAAAACAGACAAAAATTCTTACAACTTGGATATATGGCCAAATTCTTCTTCTTTTTTTACAGAAAGTAGAGGTAGAATGTAACGACCAATAATTTTTAAATTTTTTTATTATTATTATTATTAATTTTATTTTTATTTATTTTATTTTATTTAGTTTATTTTAATTTAATTTAATAAAAATAAAAATAACAATAATTGTAAAATTGGGTAAAAATATTATTTGGATTTAATTGAAATTGATTGTGGGAAAAAGGGGTGAAAATTAGGATTCTGGGGGTATTTTTGAAAAGAAAATAAAAAACCGGGGGTCAAAACACAATTTAAAAAAATTGTGCTCCGTCAGCGCCACGTCAGCAGCCACGTCAGTGGCCCAGTCTGCAGCCCTGGCCAACCAGGACCTGCCGCGTGGCAAGACCACGTTGACCCAGGAACGGGCCACGTGGGCGATCTGCGTGCGCGCGATCGGACAGCCTAGATGCGTCCCCGCGCGCACGGACGGTCCAGATTAAGCGTGTGCACGGACGGCCCAGATGCAAGCGCACGGAAGACCCAGATGCACGTGCACGGACGGTCCAGATTCAATCACGCACAGACGGCCCAGATTTAATCAAAATGGACGGCTATGATCAAAAGGCAAAATGGTATAAATAGAACCCCCACACCTGACCACAAAAACCCTAGCCGCCTGACCTCGCCGGAGAAGACGAACTAGACGCCGGAGGAGCCGGCCGCCGCCACCCGCCGCCGCACCGGGGAGTTTTCCGACCGCCGATCGAGGTAAATTTCATACCCCCGGCTGGTTTTTCAACGCTGAGTTCCCCTGTGGCCAAATCGGAGCCAAAATCCCGGCCAAACGGCAGGAAAACACGGCCGAAACCCAGCGGCGCCGCCACGTCCCTCCTCAGTTTTTGCCTCCGATGAGGCCCTTCCCGACCTCCGTTTGATACAATTTTTATATCACCGTCGCCGGAGCACAACGGAGCCGCCGTGCCGGAATTGCGATATTGGCCGAAACGGGATCTGGGTCTAATTTGGAATTTTTTGGAGCACGTGCAGGTACCAGTAGTGCGTTTCAGTTCCCCGGAAAAAATTCAGGGAAATTAGGGACAGCCTGCAGGCGCACTGTAGAGCCGTATTCGGACCCCGAAACAAGTAAGAACCCCTCACCCTATTTCCTATCACGGTATTAAAGTTCAATAAATGATAAAACGGTATTTCATGAATCAATAGATGTGTGAAATTGTTTAAGGTCGCTAATGGAGCCCGAGTCTGGTGTATTTGTCGGTCAGCTGTTGTTTGGCCTATTTTACAGTTTTAAATGCAGTATGTGGTCTGATGTTTTCATTTCATAGTTTCGTGTGCATATATCACTGTTTTATTAATTATGGGTTGAATAACTGAGAACCCGATGTTGTATGTTGTCTTGTTTGGCATGAATTACTGGTTTGCTTGTTTGTGTGTGATTTGATGATGCTGACTGAGGAAAAGGGGAATGAAAGGTTATGTAAATTGATAATTGTATAATGTGGTCAGCCTGACTAGATATCCTGAGAGATGGTGGACGGACCGGGTCCGTAGGGAACCCTACCGGGATTGTAGTCTCTCATACCGGACGGGATATGGAGACCTTATGTGTTTTGGCGCCCATACCGGACGAGGTATGGGAACGACCCGTTTCACCCTCATACCGGACGGGGTATGGGGACGGCCCTGGAATCTGATTACAAGTGTTAAGGGGTCACGGGTAGCGAGACCCCTTTGGATCCCCATGCATACTAGTAGGCTGGTAAATGAGGAAAAATATGTTGTGTAATGATTGAATTGCAAAAGGCGTGATAATTATCTTGTATTATACAGCTCATATGATTTCATGATGATGATAATGTTATTGCTTTCGTATATTGTTTTATGAATTTCACCGAGGTAAGTGTATAGTAAAGGATTTTATTATTGATAAAGAATTTGTTGTAAATTATGCTCCATTGGTCCTTTTGTGTTTTCTACCCACCTTTACCTCCGTGACGTGAAATAGTGTGATGTCTTTACTGGCTGGTGTAGCTCATTCCTTATTTAATCATTT